GCCCACCTTGGCCTCCCAAAGTACTGGAATTATAGGCATGAGCCACTGCGCCCAACCTGATTCTTATCTTTCTAGCATGTGCATGTCTCCCCAGCAATGGGCAGGTGCATTGGTCTAGGCACCACCAAGGGGCTGTTTTAGCAAAATCAAAGACGGTGGAGATTCAAAAACTCTGTCAGGTTGTGAGTTTGGGGCTAGATCTTGGAAACAGCAGCAGAAAGTAAACTAAAAACTAGAAGAAGGGAACTTTTAGGGCAGTGAAACTATTTCCTATGTTACAATAATAATGGACACATGTCATGACATATTTGTCAAAACCCACCAAATGTACAACTCAAAGAGAGAAGCCTAACATAAACTACAGCCTTTAGTTAATAATAATGTTGTATTTCTTTTGGTATTTTTATTTTATTCAATGGTAACTTTTTAAATTTTAAATTTGTAAATTTTAAATTTGTAAATTTTTTTCTCGTGTTGGTGAAAATCTTTTTGAAATGCAATTTAATTCTATCTTTTCAATCGATAAATAATAATTATACAAATAAGACAAATAATGTATGGAGTATGTAGTGATGTTCCCATAAATATAATGTGTAGTGATCAGATCAGAGTAATTAGTGCATCCATCATCTGAAACATTTCATCACTTCTTTGCATTGGGAATGTGCAATATTTTCCTTCCAGCTATTTGAAACAATATATTATTGTTAAGTATCATCATTTGTATAGAACACTAGATCGTATCAGGATTGGTTTGTCAGTTTTAACAAACATACCACACTAATACAAGATGTAAATAATAGGGAAATGTGAGGGAGCCTGGGCAGGGAGAGATATGTGGGAATTCTATACTTTCCAATCAATTCTTCTGTAAGCCCAAAATTGCCCTAAAAAATTACTAATTGTGCCTCACGGAGGAGAATCATGTAAGATGCTGGCCCAGACACAGTGGGCATGGCTGTGCCCAGTACTTTCCCTTCATTCATACCACACACCTGTGTCAGGGTCCTGGTGGCACCACCATACACTGCTAGCTAATGCCAGTGCAAGGCCTGAGCCTCTTCAGTGGCCACCCCTCCCAGCAGGCTCCGATGGGCTATCCCCACATCCTGCACCCTTGGACTGCTTGATGCCTTGCCCAGGATGGCCACTGTGGTTACCCCTGAGCTACTGGGGTGATGTGGATTGGAAAATGCCTCCCCTGCCATCTGCAATGCATTTCAGGAATCTCTTCCAAAGGTCATGAAAGTTTGAGCAGCAACTGCACTGGCTGTGGCTGCCTCGATGACCCCCTTCCATGGGCTGGCTTTCTACCTTCCTCTGAGTCACTCCTCCTACCCCTCACACCTGCTCCCTAGGACCACATCCCAAAAAAAGTCCTTAATGCAAGTCTTCATCCCAGACTCTGCTAAGGGGAAGAGATGCATTTAAGCGCATTTAAACCTGTGCATGTAGGCATGTGTCACACCAAGCAATGTTAAAATGACACTACTACTCAGTTCTTTGATATTTGAATTTTATAAACAGAACTAATCTTATCAAGCATATTAGATCTATTTGTACTATCTTCATTTGAGTGTTATAAAAAATATACATACTTCTATGGGCAAAAAGACATAAGCCAAAACCATGAGCATGTACTTTCTTTCTCTTTGTTTATAATTTAAAATATTTTCCTTGGAAAATTTCCAGATACATAAAGACTATTCCCTAATTACTTCAGCTGATAATTAGCTAACGGTCTCAAGTCAGTTAGGCATCTTAGAAAATGTATTTTAATTTGACATTAAAGAAAATATAATCACTGTTATTATTAGAAATAAAACTCTTTAAAACCCACACAGTAAAGGTGAAGCGATGCTATAGGCTCACCTAATTAGCAGTGTTTTATATAAAGACATCAGTTGTTACAGCTCTCATTAAATAAATACATAGGTTTACATTTCTAATCTTAAATACATGGTGCTAGCACCGATAACCTACCTGACAAGTAGAAGGAACTTAGGATATTCTCTTTAGTCAAGCTTGAGATAAGATGATAATTCCAAAATTATGCATAAAGAGTTATATTATATTATATTTCACACTGTGATAAAATCAAAAAGAAAATATATAGCTATCTATTTTGCCAAAGTCTATAATTTATTAAGTATGCACGATGGATTTTTATATAATTCTTCTGTATTTATTTTTTGTAAGTAATATTGAAATCCTTTACGTTTTACCTAAATTTTTAACACAGAAGTGTGTTTTGTAAAAGCCACCATCTGACTACTAATTGATGGCTTAATGATTATTTACATTTCTTTCTTCCCTTGTAATTCAACAGTAGGAACTCCATGTTATTAAACTAACATTTGCATTTTTTCTTTTTCTGATCCAAAAGCTTTTTAGAGAGAGATGTAATTTAATATTAGAAAACAGGAACACTTTTCACAGTGTTATTAATGACTTAATTGTTTATACATAGCTTAAATTTTTTAAATTTTATGCTAATTAGGGTAATATATACCTTTATTCTTATCATCTTAACCATTATGAAGTTTACAGTTACAGATGTTAAGTGTATTCACATTGTTTTGAAAGATACATACTTTTGATGAATGTCTTAATAACTAAATTAATTTGAAAATATCTGTTCATTTGAAAATCTCCTTTTCCAAGAAGGAAACTATTGGATGTTTCAGTTTCCAGAAGGCAGATTTCTTTAAACTGTTTAAAATACCCGTACATGTCATTACAATATGTAGCTTTTCAGCTAGGTGCATTTAGGCAAATTTCACTTTATTTCTGTCGGCTGGAAAGGTTTTCCTAAAGGGCCACATGTCTAAAGCATTTTGTGTTTTGGCATAATTTCTTAAACTTTTTTGCACTTTGGGGAGTCTGAGATTCTTTATCTTATTCATTAATGTTCTTTGTAACTTCTAGAAACCATCGAAATAGGAGCTGTATTGAATTTGAAAGACTTTCCAACTGTATTTGCTAATTCCCTCAGGAGACAGGCTATCCCAGCTATTCCCATTTGCATTTCTGCACCATTTTGTTAGCTGTGCAAGGGATGTAATTAGTTCACACATCTGGTATCGCATGGATTGGCTGGTGTTAAAGGTTTCACAAATTAATACAAACCTTTTTTATTTTTGCAATTGAAGGGCTCTTAATTAGTTTAAAAATAGTTGTCAACTTGCTTATAACCAGCATTTGTATGTTGCAACTTGTTCTCTTCCTAAAGGTGGGGAAGTGAGATTTGACAACAGAGACCTACCTCCCTAAGAGTTATTTGGGGAAAGGGCGTTGTCGGGTCAGAGTCTGACTTCCGGTCCTGATAGCAGGCGTGGGTGGGGGGAATTTCCCTGGAGCGGCGTGGAAAAGGGGCGTGGGAATCGATGCAGGTGGAACAGTGGTTCCTGATCTGACTCAGGCAACCACTGGACTTTGGGCATTTTTACATCCTCAGATTCAAGAGCCTCTTGAAAATGTCTAATTTTCATCATATCGAGTTCTTCCTGTGAAAGCCATGGCAAGTCTGGGTTAACTAGTAGTGCACTAGTTCTAGCTAGCTTAAGAATCTTTCTCATAATGCATGAACATGTAAAAACCAGGAATTTCTTTGGTGAAAAATTTGTTTCCTTAGAACCAGAAAAACCCATAATGCAAACGCATAAGAGAGATTTGAAAGTTGAGGTCCTCAGTTTCTCTAGATACATTTCAGGTGTTCAAGATCCACGTATAGCTAGTGGTGACCATATTGACATCATGGAAATATCTACTGGGCAGTGCTGGTTTAGACCATACTCTCTGAAACACAGCTTAGTACCGGGTAGGTATTCACCCAGCGATTCTGTGTATGTCTGCCTTTAGTAGCTGCTTCTGCTGTTTGCTACCACGACGGCCGCCTCCTCCTCCCGTGGTGGGTACGTAGGTTTAGGTTCTTGACCTCGCCACGCGAAAGAATTTGAGAGCGACTCCAAAGTAAGAGTAGGTAAAGAAACTTATTGTAAAGCAAAAGTACCCTCTGAGAGGCTGAGTGGGCTGCTCAAAGGGAGAGACAGCAACGAGTGACTTAAGAGGAATTCCTTTTATGGGAACTGTTCGTATATATTCATAAAATAGCGGTGAGGTCAAGCATGCAAAGACAGACCTGCGGTTGACGCATGCGCTCAGCATCTGCATGCTCTAACACGCAATGCATGTATCATTAGCATATAAAATCTCCGCCTAGGGGTGTGTTTTTTTACTATTAAAATGAAGAAAAGGTCACTATGAGCTAAACCTTGAGCCTAGCTGCGCAGGTGGAACCCTGGAGAAATCCTCAGCGCCCCCGCCCCAAGGCAGGAATTTGCAGCTAATAGCTTCTTGGGTTTTGGATGCTGATTGGCTGGTACTGGGGAAGCTACATTATGAATAAGTCTCTTTCCCGGCCTGTACTAGTTATCAGGAGCCTGTAACCATCTGGCAGTCAGCTGGTGTCCTGCAGGACTGTTTGTCTTGCAAAAGAGTCAGGTGCTGACTTAAGAGGGTGCAAGGGATGCACAGCCCACTGGGCTTCACACCAGGAGAAAAGTCATTAAGTCAGTATGGCCTCCTAACTTTCCTTATCTTGCTTCACTCCTCCTCACTCTTCTTTTTGTGGCCGTTTTATTGAGATGTAGTTTACATACTGTATAATTCATCAATGCAAAATGTACAATTCAGTGGTTTTTAGTATATTCACAGAGCTGTGCAACCATCACCATAATCCACTGTAAACATTTTCATTACCTCAAAAAGAGACTCCCATATGCTTTAGCCATCACTCCCCAATTCCCCCATACTCTTGGCTCTAAGCAACTACCAATCTATTTTCTGTCCCTATATTTTGCTTATTCTGGACATTTCATAAAAATGGATCATGTCATATGTGGTCTTTTGTGATTGTTTACCCCCCATGATGTTTTCAAGTTTCATCCATGTTGTAGCATGTATCAGGACTTCTTTTCTTTGTGTGGCCAAATAATATTTCATTTTATGGATATATCACATTTTGTTTATCCATCCACAGTTCATAAATATTTGAGTTTCCATCTTTTGTTTCATGAATAATACTGCTATAAATATTCATGTATAAGTTTTCATATGGACACACGTTTTCATTTCTCTTGGTTGTATACCTAGCAGTGGAATTGCTGGTCAAATGGTTACTCTATGTTTAGCTTTTCTGAGAAACTGCCACACTGTTTTCCAAAGCGACTGCATCATTTTTACATTCTCACCAGAAATGTAGGAAGGTTCTAATTTATCCACATCCTCACCAAAGCTTATTATCTTTTTGATTATAGCCATCATGGTAGGTGTTAAGAGGTAACTTATTGTGGTTTTTAATCAAAAAAGAGTGTTGGATTTTGTCAAGTGCTTTTTTTGCATCTATTAATATGAGCATGTGGCTTTTGGTTTTTATTCTATTGATAGGGTGTAATACAATAATTAATTTCCAGGTGTTAAGCTAACCTTGCCTTCCTGGGATAAATCTCACTTGGTCATGGTGTATGATTCTTTTTATATGTCACTGGATTCGATTTGCTTGTATTTTGTGGAGGATTTTTGTATCCATAGTAACAAGAGATAGTGATCTGTAGTTTTCTTTTTTTGTGATGTCTTTGGTTTTGGAATCAGGGTAATACTGGCATCATAGAATGAGTTGAGAATCATCCCTTCTCTCCTGTTTTTTGGAAGAGTTTGTGAAAAATTGATATTGATTCTATAATTCTAATAATTTAAGTCTTCTCTCTTATGTCTTCATTGAATTCTGTCATTTTTGTTGATCTTTCCAAAGAACCAGCTTTTGGTTTCATTGGTTTTTCTTTACCATTGTGTATTCTCTATTTCATTAATTTCCATTCTAATATTTACTATTTCCTTTCTTTTTTGAATTAGGTTTAGTTTGCTTTTCTCTTTCAAGTGTCTTAAGGTGGAAGTAATTGTTTTGAGGATTTTTTTCTTTTTTAATATAGGCATTTACTGCTATAATTTTTCCTAGGCACTCTAGCTGAATTCCATAAGTTTTGGAATGTTGTGGTTTCCATTTTAATTCAGCTCAAAGTATTTTCTAATTTTCAGTTTTATTTTTCTTTTGATCTACTGGCTATTTAGGAGTATGTTGTTCAATTTCCACATATTTTTTAGTTTCCCAAATTATTTATGGTATTGATTTCTAATTTAATTCCAGTGTGGTTGGAGAACATATTTTGTATCATTTCAATCCTTTTAAATTTACTGAGGTTTGTTTTATGACCTAGCATAAAGCCTACCCTAGAGAAAATTCCATGTTCACTTGAAAAGAACACAGACTTTGCTATTGTTTGATGGAGTGTTCTAGAGCTATAGCAGATTTTTTGAAACTCACTCAGGAAAATCTCAAATGTGTGCAGAAGTAGAGATAATGATAAAATAATTGTGAGTTGTGAGTTGAATTGTGTTTCTCCTCCAAAATATTGAATTCCTAGCCCCCACTATCTGTGAACGAAGGGTTTTTTGGGGGTAGGGGGCATATGATTAAGTTAAGATGAAGTAGTAGGGTGGGCCCTATCCAATATGACTGCTGTCATTTAAAATGGAAGAAACTTGGACACAGAGACAGACATGAACACAGGAAGAACACCATGTGAAGATGAAAGTGGAGATTTTGGAGATGTATCTACAAAGCAAGGAATACCAAAGACTGCTGACAAACCACCAGAAGCCAGGGGAGAGGCATGCAACAGGTTCTTGGCCCTTAGAAGGAGCCAATCCTGCTGACGCCTTGATCTTAGATTTTCAGCTCCCAAAACTGTCAGACAATACATTTCTGTTGGGCCAGGTGCAGTGACTCTCGCCTGTAATCCCAGCACTTTGGGAGGCCGAGGTGAATGGACCACCTGAGGTCAGGAGTTTGAGACCAGCCTGGCCAAGATGACGAAACCCCGTCTCTACTAAAAATACAAAAATCAGCTGGGCATGGTGGCAGGTGCCTGTAATCCCAGCTACCTGGGAGGCTGAGGCAGGAGAATCACTTGAACCTGGGAGGCAGAGTTTGCAGTGAGCCGAGATCGCACCATTGCACTCCAGCCTGAACAACAGAGCGAGACTCAGTCTCAAAAAAAAAAAAAAAAATGTTGTTTAAGCCACTCCGTTTATGGAAAACACTTATGTACTCACCACTCAGATTCAACGACCTTTCAGCCTTGTATCTTCACCACAAGCCAGAGCTCAGTGGCTCCCGGGCATTATAACAACACGGACCCGCTAGTCAATGACTCTCAGGTGAGAAAGTTTAAAGGCACAAAGACATTTTGGAATTCTGCCACAGTGCCCTCTGGTCAGGAGGTGAAAAACAAGCTCTGAATGTTGGACTTCCAAAAATGTAAAAGACGAAAAGTCAACGGAGTTGAGCTGATATGGTTTGGCTCTGTGTCCCTACCAAATCTCATGTCGAATTGTAATCCCCAGTGCTGGAGGTGGGGCCGGGTGGGAGGTGATTGGCTCTTGGGGGTGGAGTTCTCATGAATGGGTTAGCGCCATTCCCTCGGTGCTGTTTTTGTGATAGTGAGTTTTGGTGAGATCTAGTTGTTTAAAAGTGCGCATCGCCTCCCCACTTACTCTCTTCTTCCTGCTCTGGCCACGTGAGATACCTTGCTCCCCCTTTGCCTTCCGCCATGATTAAACGCTTCCTGAGGCCTTCCCAGAAGCAGAGGCTACTATGCTTCTGGTACAGCCTGGAACCATGAGCCAATGAAGCCAATCTTTTCTTTATAGATTATGCAGTCTCAGGAATTTCTTTCTAGCAGTGTGAGAATGGACTGATCCATGAGCCTTGTCAAAATTTTATGATATGCATAGTAAACAATCAAATACCAGATTGTCTGAGGATCTTGGGGGAAGGATTTTTAATGCAGAATTAGGTTGTTTGTCAAAATGATTCTAAAATGTTACACTGTGTGAAAGTTGTCAGAATCGAAATGGAGTTGCTTATGTTAAAAACCTAAACAATAGACCCAGGGAAAGGCATGAAGGGAGGATTCCCAAGTACAAATACCTGATAACAGCAATTATCCACAAGTCTGCAAAAATCACAACCTTGCATAAAAATATACTTCTGTGCACCGGGCGCGGTGGCTCACGCCTGTAATCCCAGCACTTTGGGAGGCCGAGACGGGCGGATCACGAGGTCAGGAGATCGAGACCATCCCATCTCGGCTCACACAGTGAAACCCTGTCTTTACTAAAAATATAAAAAACTAGCCGGGCGTGATGGCGGGCGCCTGTTGTCCCAGCTACTCCGGAGGCTGAGGCAGGAGAATGACGTAAACCCGGGAGGCGGAGCTTGCAGTGAGCCGAGATCGCGCCACTGCACTCCAGCCTGGGTGACAGAGCGAGACTCCATCTCAAAAAAAAAAAAAATATATATATATATATATATACACACATATATATATATATATACTTCTGCAAGGACATCTGCCCAGCAGCTGCCTAACTGACCTCAGGCTGGCATCGCCCTTATTATTGCTCTTTCTAGCCAAACATAATTATCTTAAAACAATTATACAGCCCTCGTCATTTTTCTTCAAAAAACCTTTGTCTTCTTTTACCTCCTGCATATGCACATAGTTTATTATGACACACATATTCCCATTGCAGTACCCATTCCCAAATAAATATCATTTTCTATTAGAGAGCTTCTCTCTGTCTGTTATTTAGGTTAGCAGTTGTCGAAGCATGATTTTGAAGCCAGATCTTAGAGTGTCTTTGTTGTCAGGTTATCAGGTACTCTATAGTTTTCTGTTTGGGTGCTATTAGTGAAGTAGAGATCATGGCAGGTGGTAGTTATTGTCTGTAAAGCTTGCAAAATTCGTATTTGTTCCAAGGTCTAACAGTCCTTTTTATTTCTTTAGACATATTTAAATTTTAATTTTAATTTCTATTCCAATATCCTCGGTGTTTTTGAATGCATTTCTACTGTTTCTTCTTCCTCCCAACTCTCGCTCAAATGATGGCTTCCTCTTGTGTCTTATAGCTTGCTGTTGTGAAATTCTGTTCTGCGGAACAAATCTGTAATAATTTTTTAACTTGAGGTGCATTCCTCAAGAGAAGATTGTACAGTTGCTTTTGCAGGTACTGGATATATTAGCAATCCAGAATATCTTTTTTTGTTTTTATTTTCTTCTTGTTGTTTTAAAGACAGGGTCTTCCTCTGTCATCCAGGCTGGAATGCAGTGCCACAATCATAGCGCACTGCAACCATGGATTCCTGGGCTCAAGCCATCCTCCTGCCTCAGCCTCCTGAGTAGCTGGGACTAGAGCTGCACGCCACGACACCTAGCTAATTAAAAATTTTTTTTTTATAGAGATAGGATTGCCCCGGCTGATCTTGAACTCCTGGGCTCAAGTGTTTCTCCTGCCTCAGCCTCCCAAAGTGCTGGGATTACAGGCATGAACCACCACACATAGTACAGGATGTCTTTAAATTACGTTATCAGTTTGGTGTTTCCAGAACTCTTAGAGAGTGGAAATTCTGTCCCTAAACTTGTGTGATGGTAAAATACAAATTCTTAAACATGTTTTTCTCCCCTTCACTCAGAGGCAAAATCAAGGTAGACAAGTTTCCTTACTAACTCCTTAAGAAAGGCAGGATTTTTTTTTTTTCATGTTACTCAGTGTGTGTCTTTCAGGGTCCCAGCCTTATGTAAAATAAAAAGGTCTACAGTCAGACTTCCCACCTTCATTAACACCTGAGAAATTAATGAAAGAGAGAATACAAACGGTAAAGAAAAATCAATCTAGTGTGGGCACGACATTTTGGCTCCTTTGCTCCTGAACTAAACCGTGTAAATGGAACCTCCAGTCCCCAGACACTGGCAGATACTCCTTAAGCAACACTGTTTCCATGTCGTTGCTTACCTTTCTGAACTCATATGTTCCAGTATTTGTGGTCTTTAAGGATTTCTCTTACCTTTTGCCAGGCCAGGTATATATTTAATAATTTGTTGTTTAAAAAATATTTAGACAATTATAGATTTTTTTTTAAATCAAAAGTCTCATTATGATTCCTAGGTCTGCCATATTGCTAAAAATGGAAGACTATAATGATTTTTCAAACTGAGACCTCTCTCTGATCTGGAACTTATTTTTCCATTAGTTTGAGGTTGGGCTAAATTTCATTTCTGCAGATTCTAACAGTGTAAGGAAAGGTACAATGGGCCCTGAATGGGCGTTCTGTTAGGCTCTTTCATGAGTTCAGTTTGAGGGGCAAAATGACACACAAAAGCAAAGATCAAGTAATAAAGAGTTGGCTTTCACAGTTTTGATGAGTGTCTTCCATCCACCCTAGACCTGCTTCCTTTTGATACAAAAGGTGCAAAGCGACTTTTATTCTGTTCTTCCTAGTGCTTTGTTGGCTGCATTTCCCCTGCCTCATACCTGAGCTTTTTCCTGCTGAGCTTCATGCACAAGGACCTTCCATTTGATCTTCATGGTTCTTCCCGGTAAGGCAGAACCTGAAAAAAAGTGAAAGATCAGAAGGATGGGAAGACTTAAGGATTTTGGACTGAGTCTGGGTCCACATAAAGCTAACCCAGGGCTGCTGATAAGAGTAAGTGTAGAGTAGTTGATCAGCAAATCTCATCCCATCTAAAGACAGAAAGTTAGAACGCCAGGATAAATTCCATTGCAATCAGCTTCAGAGAACTATCCTAGTTCTTTGATATATCAAATATGTGTTAAATAAGTAAGCGTTTGGCTAGGATTTCAAAACCTACGTTGCTATGGAGAGATTGAAAGTATAACACATTTTCTTTCAGAGACGGGGTCTTGCTATGTTGTCCAGGCTGGACTGCAGTGGCTATTCACAGGCGAGATCATAGAACAGTACAGCCTTGAACTTCTGATGTCAAACAATCCTCCTGTCTCAGCCTCCTGAGTAGCTAGGACCGTAGGTGTTCGCACCACCATTCCTGGCTCCAGACAGCCTCTTTAGGAATGACAGAACATTAAATGAAGACTATCCACTGTTTAAAGGTTAAAATAGACAGTCTTTTTTTTTTTTTAATCCTTTCCTACCCTTTGATCAGAAAAGTTTGCTCTGTCTACTTTTTGAGGACACTGTATTTTATTACCATCCAAATATTAGAAATAACTTATATCTATGTGATGGAAGTTTCCAATATTCTGTTTTTACTTTTTCCTGCAGCAAAGCCTATATATCCTTTTCTGATATTGTGCTTCTGTCCTATGAAATCTTCCTTGTTTATTTCTTGCCATCTTGCTGATAATTATACAGCATTTTCCCTAGTCCTAACTTGTAGACCTTCCAATGACTACATACTTCTGATTGCTTTTACAGTCGCGATCACAATATTTCCTCCCCTCCTTTGTGTCCTGATTCTGTACGGAATCAGAGCAGCTTCAAAGAGATTATCTAAGGAGAAGCAGAAGGCTTTTCCAGGCTGTCTTCAAGGCCCATGCCTGAATGTTTTCCCCAAGTAATCTTTTTTACTTAAAATGTCAGACCATAATAGGACCTCTAATTAAATGGTTGCTCTTATATGAAAAATGGGCTGGGTCTTGGGCTGGGTATGGTGATGTGCATCGGTAATCCCAGCACATTGGGAGGCTGAGGCATGGGGATCACTTGAGCCCAGGAGTTTGAGACCAGACTGAACAACATAGCAAGACTGACTCTACAACAAAAATTTTAAAAATTATCTGAGCATGATGATGCATGCTTACGGTTTCAGCTACTCAGGAGGCAGAGGGAGGAGGATTGCTTGAGCCTAGGAGTTCAAGGCTGCAGTGAGCTATGTTCGCACCACTGCATTCCTATACTCCAGCCTGGGTGGGAGAGCTGTTTGCTAATCATTTTATGTTTTCCCAAGCTGTTCCAGGAATTTGGCAGGGAGTTGACATCAACTTATCTGTCTATACTTGCTTTCTGAATAAACCACTCAAATGCTGAGGCTGAAGATTTCTCACCTGTATCTCGGAATGGAACTGAGAACGGCATTACAAGGAATGGAAACATTTCAGTGACCATCTCAGACACCCGAAAGACTCACAGACCGAGACTGGTGGGGCTTCTCTAAAAGTCAACATGGTACAATCTCATGCAATGGAAAGACGGCAGGTCTTAGAACTGAATGGCCTTGGGTTTAAATCCTAACTCATCCACCAGCTGTGTGGTTGGGAAAAAGTCATTGTAACCTCTTTGAGTCTCAGTTCCCTCATCTGAATATTGGGAATCATACTAACCACCATGCGGCATTGTTTTGAGGATTAAACAGAACAAGGTATATGTGGTGGGCTGGAAAATCACTCTGAAGATATCTGGGTCCTAATCCCTGGAACCTGTGAATATTATCTCATATTTGAGAAGGCACTTTGCAGATGTGAGAAGGCTGAGAACCTTGAAATGGGAACCTTATCTTGGGTAATATGAGTGGGTTCTACATTCAGTTATGACTCTCTTTATATGAGGGAGGCCAAGGGACAATTGGCTGCAGAAGGAAAAAAGCAATATGACTACTGAAGCAACGGGATTTGAAGATGGAGGAAGGGACCACAAGCCAAGGAGTGCAAGCCACGCGGCTCAGGAAGAGCCTTTGCAGTTGGTGTTGCCCCATCCACACTTTGATTTTGGCCTAATGAAAATAATTTCAGACTTCTGACCCCCCCCAGAACTATGAGAGAATAAATGTGCATTGTTTTAAGCTACCAAGTTTGGAATAATTCGTTACAATAGCCACAGGAGACAGACACAGTATGTAAAAGGCCTGGCATCTAGTAATGCTCAAAAACTATCGGCTGCCACCCCCACTCCATTCTCCATCGTCTGCCTGTGCTGGGCACTATTCGTTGAGCTGTCACTGTATAGAGGCATGGGGGCAGCTGCAGCTTCAGGAGCAACTGGGGAGCTTGTAGAACAAGCTTACGCTCACAGAGATTCCTATGTTTATTTTATTTTATTTTATTTTATTTTTATTTTATTTTAGACAGGGTCTCACTCTGTTGCCCAAGCTGGAGTGCAGTGGCATGATCTAAGCTCACTGCAAGCTATGCCTCCCAGGCTCAAGCAATCCCCCCAACTCAGCCCCCTGAGTAGCTGGGACTACAGGCATGCATCATCATGCCCAGCTAATTATTATTATTATTATTTTTATTTTTATTTTTTTTGTATTTTTTGTAGAGTTGGGGTTTCACCATGTTGGCCTGGCTGGTCTTGAACTCCTGACCTCAAGTGATCTGCCTGCCTCGGCCTCCTGAAGTGCTAGGATTACAGGTGTGAGCCACTGCGCCCAGCTGGCTCCTAGAGGTTCTAATTCACTGGTTGGGGTTCAGGGTCCAGGAATCTGCATGTTCCCCCATGCCTAACAAGAACATCCTGATGTGAATGCTTTTCACCCCATAGTTTAAGAAACACTGCCTAGGATCAGTAATGGTTGGCTGTCACTGCCGAGGTAACTCCAAGGGGACGCTGATGATCAGGAGGAGGCTCTGGAGCCAAAGCAGTCTAAGAGGCTGTGGGAAGCAACCTAGCACCTGCAGGCCCCGCCTCCTGCATTTCAGACACAGGCAAATTAAAAGACTTGAGCAAAGGCTAACACAGCTTTTAACAGCTCAAGGCCACAACCCTAGGATGTCCCTAGTTCCCCTTAAAGTGACTTCTTGAAAAAAAAAAAAAAAAATTGAAGGCTGCCACATGAGTTTACTGTTTGTTCTATCCAATATCTGACATAGGTCCCTTGCCTCCCTTTCTTAGAGCATTTACCAAAAAGGGCTTAATTGTGACTCTTCCTCCATCTTTGAGAGGTATAGGTGTGTGCTATGACTCAGAAGAGTCTCAAGGACCTGAAAGTGCTTCCCTTGAAATGTAACAATCGGCCAGGCACGGTGGCCCACACCTGTAACCCCAGCACTTTGGGAGGCCGAGGCAGATTGGTCACCGGAGGTCAGGAGTTCGAAACCAGCTTGACCAACATGGTGAAACCCCATCTCTACTAAAACTACAAAAATTCACTGGGCATGGTGGCGCATGCCTGTAATTCCAGCTACTTGGGAGGCAGAGGCAGGAGAATCTCTTGAACTTGAGAGGCAGAGGTTGCAGTGAACTGAGACCACACCATTGCACTCCAGCCTGAGCAACAAGAGCAAAACTCCTTCTCAATAAATAAATAAATAATTAAAGAAATGTAACCATCAGGAAGGACAGGGCCCTGTCTCCTGCTGCAGACATGGAGGATCTAATCGCATTGACACTAAGCCTTAGGAACTGTTCACTTCCTGAAATCTACCGAACCCCCTCCAGTAGGCCTCCGTACTCCCCCATTCCCCCTTTCAAATGCCCTGTGTACAAATCAAAGTTGAGTTCAGTTCATGCCGTACTCTTTTTCCTATTGCAATAGACATTACTGATTAAGACCTATCCAGACCAATTTAACTGGTGTCTGGCTTTGCTTGTTTTTGACACTGACGCTGACAGAATGCCTGCTGAAACCTTAGGCCAGGAGATGCTCTAAATTCAAAGTTATGAAAACCAGACTGTCATTGTTCATTCAAAGTGAAAACCTAGAGGTACATACAGATACACACACACACACACAGAGATACACATGCACATGTACAGTTACTTCTGAAACCAAGGAGAAAATGTGAAAGTGATTCCAGTGACTAAAGACTTCTCACCAAGGAAGAATTGACCAAAATGCAGCAGAAAGTCAGCAGAGCAAGGAACTCCTCTCCTGGTGTCTAGTCACATGCTCGTCCACTGCCTGGGGATGGGAAGTGGTAGAAAGCAGAGACCAGAGGCCAGCCTGTGGGATACATGTGTTGGGCAGTTTGCTGATTTTTCATTCTTCCCCTGTTCCTCACTCACTATTAAAAGAAAAAAGTCATGCGATGCCACTTGTTAAAGCACAGTAAGGAAGACTTTATTCAAGACCATTGTGACAGATGAAAGGACCACTGCAGTCGCATCTTTCAGTGGCGGAGAGAGACTGAGCTCCACTCTAGACACAGCCTGGGCAAGTGGGTGGGGTGGGGGAGTGGTTAGTGAGATGAAAATTACTAAGAGGAACCACCAGGGATATGAGGGATTTCGGCTGAACTAACATAAGAGGATTCCTGCTGAAGGCAGGCAAGAGTGACCACACATCACCTGCGAAATGGTGGAGGATGAGAAACCTGATTGGGTATCGAAGATGGGGGAGTCCTCACTAAATGGACTTAGCAGGGCTCTTTACAAGGTATTGCACAGATGGGCCTACAAGAAGGTTCAAGACTCTAACTCAAGCTTGGCCAAGCAATGAATCTTTGTCACCAATCCATCTCAAAAGTAAAAACTGAGCTAGACTAAGCAAATAAAGGGGAAAGATGCATTGAGAGTAAAAAAAGAGTAAAAAAAGACTTGAGGGTTAAATTTTTTTAAAAAGGATTTTAGTCCCTGTCCTGCCACTAACTAGCTGTATGCTCTTAGCTGAGTCATTTCATATCTCTGA